ATAAATCTATTGCAGCTTTTATGTTGATATTAAAAAGTCTTCTTGACTTGTGAAATTCTGAAAAAGTAGATTCAAGAAAGATTTGAAGGTTATCAAGCTCTGATCAATACGAAACAAGCATGTATTTTTTAAAAAGTTGCAAGGTTCAAATTGAAGAATTATAAAATTGTAACCATACATCTGGCTGCTTTATCAAACTTCAAAAACATGAAATAAGTTTTAATGTCCAAGATTTCCTTTTAAAAAACTAATGAAAATCTCATTTTTATTGTTATTTTTTACTAAGCCTAACATGCCTATTGTTATGATCAAATACAGAAAACTACATAAAAAATTTATGAAGTGAGAATATCAAATAATCCAAGAGTATGTTGAATTTTGATCTTCTGTTTGATGCAAAATTGTACAACACAAAATTATCTATGAGTTAAGTAGATCCTCATAATAAACATATTATGATTGTGAAAAAAATTTTAATCATATATGATTATGAAAATTATAATACTCAAACAATGAATCATTGAAAAAATAATCTAACAAATTAAAATTCTGATTATTTTAAAAAATATTGACAATGAATAACTGAACAATTCATTGTTAACTAACGTTATAAGAATCTTAGCATAAAATAATATTGATGTATATTTAATAAATGATTCTTTAAACATATCCTAATGTAAATGAATCACGTACATATTACTATTTTTCAACGAATTGAAAGTTTTGAATCTTTTTATTTGTGTGTTTTTATTGTATTTTTCAAATAATTAAAATACAATAAATATAAAATGCAATCTAGTTTATTTTTTATACAACATCTTTTTTATAATGATATGTTTATATATATATATTGAAATGTTACTTTTTTATATTGAAAGTTTTTTCTTTAAAAAATGATATAAATAAAAAAAATTTAACATTATGAGACTAAAAATTCATCTACTATATATATTTAGATTTATTGATTATCAAATTTTATTGGTTTGATTATTTTAATTAGAATTCCAATAAAATTGCTAGCATGTTTAGAGTATAATATGTTGTATAATACCAAGATTAGAAGCCAATTAGATGAATTAGTGTTCCCAATACAAATGATTTGAAGTGTCCAACAAATTAAAGTGACAAGGCTAAACTTCCAAAGATGGAAAACCATCAAAATGATTTGAATGTTTCATCCAAAATGCCCAAAAAAATGAATCAGGGTGCTAAAAATGAAAACTTAATAACGATTGGCCAAAAAGTTAAAATATTAAAATTTAACGATGATGACAAAGATTATGGTATAATAATGAAAGTGATCAAAGCAATAAAGAGAAAAATGGGCAGCAGAAATAAAAAATATAAATAAAAAAAGAAATTTTGACATCTTAAAATAGATTTATGTGCAAGTTTTGACATAATTGACACTTTGAAAAGTAAATTAATTTATAATGAAAAAAGAAATATTACATCAAAGAAGAAGAAAAAATTATATAAAAATTTTGACTGAGTGCAATATTACTGTGAGGTTTTCAAAAAGTATGGTTTGATCAGATCAAAATTTGAAAGCATATTTTGTATTCAAATAAAAATAAAATAAAAATTATTTAGTTTGAACTTGTAAAAAAATTAAATCACAAAATTGTTTTAATTATCACAAATTTGTATATATTCTATGAATGAATTTCAAAAATTTGTTCCAATGAAACAACTCTTAAATTACACTTAAGTTAAACAAAAATTTATGTGAAGTTTGAAAGTAAAAAACTTAGAAATAATCTAGAAATTCGATAGGTTAAATAAATAAAAATTTATATTTCATTATAGATTTCATTATATTAAAAAAATTATGAATAAATTTTAAAATTACATTTTTACAAAAATGATAAGAAAAATAATGTGAAATTTGAGTTTAAATTAATTTGTCATAAATATTTTCTAATCATATTTTAGCATATCAAACAAGCAAAAGTAGTTAAAAAATGAGAAAAATCAATATTGATAACTAATAAAAAAGAATGTATTGGAATGGTCTACATAACAAGACATTCAAACACTTTCAAAGAAGATTTACATATTTCATAAAATATTGATGCCACATGATTGTTATTTTTTTAATCATAATTAATTTCAATTGTAATTTATAATACTTTATGATGATTATAAAATTATACATAAATTTTTTATACAATTTGAAGATCAAAAATTTTGGTAGTTTCCAAGTTTATTTTGATAATATTGTAATGATTAATATCAATTGATGTGAATAATATCATGTAATATGATAAATTAAACATGAATAGTTCCTATTTGATCATATATAATGTATGTATCAGATATTTCTAATCATTTATGACTCAAAAGAATTCTCTGAAACATTTGTATGAGATGTCATCAATTATAAATAGTATGAAATAAAGACTTAATAAAACATTGATTGACAAATTTTTTTTTACTTTCAATTTAGTGTTTGATTGCAGAAATTATCATTTTTAACTTTGTAAACAGAATATTCATTGTCTTTATGATGTTAAAATTTAGTTTTTAAAAATGTTTAAGACTTGTAAAATTTCTCTTAGTTTCAATGTAATTTTTATAATAACGTTTATACTGCCTACAATAAAAATTTACAATCTTCTACTTAAAAAATTAAAATTATGAAATTATCTTAACTTACTCTACACAAGCAATAAAAGAGTAGTTCACAATAAGAAATAATTATCACAAAAAATTAAAATTAAAAATCATAAGTTAGATTTTAATTTATTTTCAAAGTAAAAAAAAGAAAGATTATCTTCAAACTTGAATTTAGAAATATTTTAATGCATCATTATATATACTATTTCAATAGTATTTTCATATACACATGATTTTTTTAAAAAAATAAAATGATATTTATTACATAATTATTTAAATTTTATTCATGATTACATATTAAAATTATGAAATTTTGAATTGAATTTTAAAATTAAAATTTTTTTACATGTTTTTTATCTCAATGTTAAGAGTTTGTTAATTCATTCACTTAGTGTTCATCTAATTTATAGAGTTTATAAATTTCAAATATACATTTTAAATGAAGAAAAAACTATTAGAACAAAATCTACTTATTGTTTAGTTTTATTTTAATTTAATATAGATAGATTAATTTAATATATATTACTAATAAAATCTGAGATTCGTTCTTTGTTTTATAAATAATGAGTGTGTTTTGAATATGTATAATTGTTCAGATTAATGAACTATTGAAAACTACTTTGTTAAAAATGCTTCTCATAATAATATCAATCAAAATTATCAATATTAACTTATTAGATGTGACATTTGTCACATGAATAAAGTTGTGTTATAAAATATACTCATGTTGAAAAACAAGAAATATAATATTAAAAAAATTGAAAATCATTCAAAAAATTCATTTTATTATAAAAATGATAAACAATAACAATCGTTAAAATTTATTTCGGTTTGCAAATCTTGTGAGTTTTTCTCATGCGCAAATGTATTCATCTTTGATTTTGATTTTTTTTTCTTCCAAAATTACAATGATGAATGAACACATCAATAAATGTTATTTTGTTATCCTTGGTTTGTTGTTTGGCCCGTGCATTATTGTTATGCAAGACCCAATCATGTTGTTGGATATTCGTACAGTTTCATTTAAAATTAAAACACATACAAGTAAAGCTAGAAATTACAAAGTTCTCTGAAGTTGTATTTACTCTTGTAGAGTAGAATCCATATACCTTAGAACCTGCATTTACAATTTGAAATTTTTTTTAATAAATGTATTAAGTTGATATTGAGATCAGTTACAGTCTTTATGATAGATTTCAACTCATATTGCAAATCTATATCGGAAGTAATCATTATGGAAAAATTAACAAGATTTGAAATAATTGATCTTATTATAATAGTTGAAATTCTTTCTCTAATCACCAACTTAGAATCATTATATTTTAAAACTTTTTACATTATAATAATGATTCAAATAATTTTAACCTTAGAATAAGTCTTATCATAACTTACTTTATTTTGAATCTCTGGTTTCAAATCTCAAACAAAATTCTTTGTGAACATTGCTCTTATACCCACCATTGTAGTATTCATTTTGTCTTCAACTTTACTCAACTCCACAAGTAATCTTTCTTTTTTTTCCAATAAGGTTCTACATGTCTCATTGTTTCAAAAAGTTGAACTCACACATCAACTTTTTTTTATTTTCATTGGAAAAAATAATTTTAATCAAGTTTTTCGTTAACGTATCCTAGATGTATTATTCCAAGTGCTCCATATTGTATTACTTGAGAGATGAATATTTCAAAAAATCAATAAAAAACATAATTTACTCATTGTTTCTTATACAAGTAATCTTGAAATTCATTACAAAAAAAATGTATATCTTCATTTTTATAGAACATCAAAAAACTTATTATTTTTAATTAAATTTTTTCTCTATAAAAAATTCATATAAAATTTCATAATTCGACACAAGATAATATTATTTCTAAATTTTAAAAATCTTTCTAAAATTATTCTTAAGATTTAACATTGAATATATGGAACTTTTATTGATATGGAATTTTTTTTTGAAAATTTGTACTAAAAGATAGCAAAATTTAATTAGATGTATTTGATCAAACTCACTAAATTTTTTTTTAATAAGGATGGTAAGAACTAATGATTACATATAACATGCACATTACCGACCAAATTGGGATAAACGTGTTGGACTATCCCTTGCAACACTTTCATTACTCGTATTCAATAATGTTGTGACGTTAACCCTTTAGTATGGTTTGAACTGTCGGAGTTAACCCACTCATGCAGGTTAACTCCTGCGATTTGTCTTTTTCCCGCCGGACCAGTCCGTCGTGAAAAGTTCTGCTTATCTTCGCGGGCCGGTAACATTCGATCGAGTGATCCCGACTGTCAAATGCCGGGGGCTTGCCTCTCTGTCTCGAAACCTTAGCGCAGGCCGGAATGAATTTGGAGTAGAGGGAGATGTTCTGTTGCTGAGATTGGAATGCTGCGGGACTAAGAGTGCCGAGCTTCGACGGTGCGTAGCTTGGCAATTTCAGACATGGCTGTCAACAGAGTGATGGTCGTGTTCTCGGTCGCTTCGATGCTGATGTGGGTTCTTCCGATCGGCGTGCTGCAAGCCTTCAACTGGAATCTGATACCAGGCCTGGAGGATATGTCTCCAAAATCACGCACGCTGTGGAGCGGTGGGATAGCCGTCGTCTGTGTCAACGTGATCATTGCTGCTTACATATTCCTGGCTCTTCAAGAACCTGCCCCTGCCGCCGAGCCGCAACCGGATCCAGTCTTTTTGCGGAGAGCGAAGGAAAGCGTAGCTGCGGTTACTGCAAAGCCTTCGACCTCAGAGCCGGGAAAGAGCGGCCAAGCCGAGGCCGAGAAAGGTGTGAAAGCTGAATAGGTTTGCGGGTTTCGATGTTGGCGATCTCGGCGGTGGATGCTTGGGCTTCTCCAGATTACGCCCGTCTTGACTTTGTTGTAAGGTATCATGGAAATTGCCATCTTTCATCACCCTCTGTCGCTCTTTTACCTGGTTGATCTGCCGTATCAGGAATAGCGAAAGAAATGTCGCGGTGTATGCCTTTCATCTCGTTCGAAACGCTGACATGCTGCTAGGGGGTTGCTGAAACTTTTGACAAGAGTGTCAGGGTGAACATTTCACCTTAAGATCAATACGCCGAGTGAGTTTTGAACCTCCTCCTGTACCCATTGTCGAGACATTTGGTGGGGTTCCTAAAGAAATAGAACACGGTAGAGAATGTCATCAGTCAAGTTGATGTAAGAAATCCAACGGCCGTCTGAGAAAAAAAAGGGTGTACGAACACAATATTTGACATCGTTCTCGCGGATGTATGGAAGAAGAGCGTCTCAACGATCTCATGACCTGAAATCAGTGCGGTGGCCTTCACATTGTAATAAAAGCAGTCCGGCAAGTAGACAGCGTTCGAACAATTGTTTAACATCTCGAAGGCTTTAGTTTTTTTCATCAAAGTGGCTTACTTTTGTAAAGCATGAGAGAGGCTGTGAAATAAGAAGACTCTGTTCAGAACTGTTTTCACTAGGTTGGTGTAATTCTTGCTGGAAGTTTTAAGATCTTTTAAAGACGCTACTGAGGACCACTTTCCAGTTCTGCATGTTTTCATTGAAGGAATGGCCTGTATGATCATGTCGCTTTGTCGCTTTCACCATCTCAACTTTTTCTCACCGATGTGCCCTATCAGCTGACCGAGACTAACAAATGTCTTCCGTCGTTGCTGGATGTACTGTTTTGAGAAGTTTATTTCACGTGTGGTGACTACCATGTAAATCGTTTATTATCGTTCTTGGTTGTGGTTTGAAATCTTGTATCATCTCATTATATTTCAATTGAGTCTACCCCAAGATGCACTCAGAAGAATTTACCTGCAGTCATAACTGAGTTGGCTTTCTAAGCGAGAAAACTGGAAGAGTTTTTGTTTCTCTTCTGAATAAGATGATCTCGAAACTTACAGATGAAAGATTTCAGAACATCCAAAGATCAAGTCCAGGGGTGAAGGAAAGGCCTGTCTGGTTAGGGTTGTTAGGTCGTAGCATAACGTCAAGAACGAAGTGTCTTGCGAGGAAATACACGGATGAATATTATAAGTTCAAAGTTCTGGTTAATTTTGAGTAGCTCTTTGTTGATTCGTTGTTAGCAAATGATGGTCATTGTGATCTGGTTTTCAAGAAAGGTTGTAGGTTTAAGCTGCTCGTCTCTACTCTTCCCAGTAGATTGTGAGGACGGCCAAAGATGCCAGTTTTTTTTGTGCTCATCAAGTTCAATGAGAAAACACTAGAACGATTGATTTGATTTTTACCATTTCCCATTAGAGAAGACGCTCCAATATGAAGCTTGTGTCATTCGAAAGTTAGTTTAGTTTCAGTCCCCCGTCCACATTTGTGATTGAGAGAAATTTTTGAAGATGCCGCATATTGGTCAGGATTTTACCAGGGCTGGTTTCCATGAACCTCGAATGTTTCTGAGGAGTCGGCTAATTCTATATCTGTTCTAAACAGCTCCGGTCATCATCAGAGAGTTATCTTGCGGCTCAAACCATAGACATTCTGTTGAGTGTAGAAACTCGTGATGATGAAGAAACTGCGAGGAGGTGCCACCGTGCTTTTAAGTACGGTTATCAAGCTTTTGATCCTGACACGGATTCTGTCAAACTAGTAAACCATAATACAGTCTCCAAAATCTTTGTGAAAGCCATTAATTCTACAGCATTTCTTTCTTCCTCGCCCAATTTCTTGCATAAGCTGGAACGGATATGATCGCAGGAGAAAGGAATTTCGCTCACAGAAGTCCACACCAATTCTGAGCATGCAGATCATCAAATTCGGACTGATATTTATGCCATAGTGTGAATCTTGGACTTTCAATACAAAATTGAAGCAGTCTGAACAAGAGTATATCTCCACATTCTTAACTTTTCCAAGCTTGCACGGTCACTGGTTAGATACTGTACATTCAAAGTAAGTGATTTTCCAAAATAACACAGGTCTTGTATACTCTAATCACATGGATTGATTTACTGTTTAGACAGAAGCATGAGTAGGTCATAGGAGGAATGAACATAACCTACAGACAATGTTTATGAATTTCTGGATTTAAAATGGAATTATCAAAGTAAGCGGTGTGTACTACTTGTAGATATACCGTGTGGTTGCTCATTCTTCAGTTTATATATATACAAAAGAACTGAGAGAAAGTCTTTTATAAAGAAATCCATCTCAGTTAGAGTCTAAGTCTAACTGAGGTACGTTTGATTTATCTGAACACTTGAATGAAAAGTATGTATAAATGAATGGTACATTGTTTTAACGTGGAAACTCAACTTAGACGTGATATGTTATTACAAGGAAAATGAAGTCTCTTGGCGGATGAAACTAAACGTCGAATGAAACTATTTCGGGATTTGAAAGTGTCAATGTACTTGTCTTCATTTACATGAAATCCTTCAGATTGTTTCAATCAGCCCTGCTTATGTTGTAGTTTCATAACCTTATTTGAAGGGATAAAGTGAAAAGAAAAATTTGCATAAAAAGCCTACATTTAAATAAAACAACTATGATACTTTCAAGGATTTGAAATACCAATTATTTTCATTTATCAAGTACTGTTACTACTCTTGCCCTATTAATAATAGGCTATCTGAAACTTGGCACATCACTTATCAACTTATTGCTGCGCTGTACTTAATTATATACGCCGCTGGTTGAACATTCTTAACGAGTACAAACAGACACGGGAAACAAAGTTAGCGAATTCTTGCTCAGATGACACTTGTATTTGATCATAGTATGTTCGATCAGTTCTTTATTGAATTAAATCATCCAACATGTAAATTAAGGATGGGATTCTCATCATTTCACCTTGGCAATATGATTGCCATTTCAGGACACATTTTTTATGATGTTTTTCATGTATTTATTTGATAGGATGTCATAGTAACCTAAATTGTTTGATCGGATTTGTTTCGATCAAACAATTCGTTTTACTCGATGGAATTCCATTGACTTATTACAGTTGCAAAGTTTTAATACGTGTTCTTGTACAAATATATTGCAAGAATTATTGATTGGTTCCATGGCTTGCTATGTCACTTTGACTAGGTTCCAATGTCGTCATTTCTTCTCTCTCTCAAGCTTGCAAAGAAGAGTAGCTATCATCCAATTCGGGTGCAGTTTCAGAGTTCCTACACGCAGTCATCGTTTGATTCGAGTGAATTCAACAATTATCTCAGCACGAGTTCACAGTCAGAGCTCCATTGTGTTGCCATATAACGTCTAATATCAAGAGTCACAATGAGAGCTCCGTTGCTTTGCGACAAAGCCATTGCATCGTCTGTTCATACTAGAACAGGCGTGACATGTACCATCCATGGGTTTCCATTTGTAAAACCAAACGTGATGGGTACCATCAAGCAGTTTAGGTTCCAATGAGATACCATCAAATAAATACTTGGAGGTTTTCGTTATTGAAATGTGGAGTATGATGTTGTAACATGCAAGGAAAAATACAACTTCGTAAATTATTGTTTTCAATATAATGAATAGATAAGTTCCACTTGGTACGTTTTGATTTTAAAAATTTCACAATTTATCGATCAATCTTTAAAAACTCAAATATAATGTGTACTATAACACAGATTCACTCATAGTTTAAATGTATATTTTACTTCAGTCTTCAACAAAAAAGTGAAAAGTATGAATTGATAGTAATAAAAAGATTTAATCTATGAAATTATAATTTCTGAGATTATAAATTATTATATCAAAAAAATTTAGTTACATTAATTGATTATTAATTTTAAATTTTCTCGTGCTGACCACAACATATAAAATATTTATTTTGGAGATCTATCTAGCAGTTTTGTCAAAAATGAATTTTAGAGTTCATGAATAGAGGATTTTTGTATATTATCAAGCTTTGATATTATAACTTCAATCATTTACTAATTTGGACTAATTTTCGATAAATAAGAAAGTATATTTTACTGATATAAATGAAAATCACAGTGTTATCTAACAAACGTGTTTCATCTTGATTTTTGTTTGCTATTACTTTGAAAACAGTTTGCTTGTTATCAGTGTATTATCAGTTCTCTTGCAAAATATGGCTTTATCTTAAGTAGCGATTCATCTTTAAGATTTAGTGTCAATTTTTTAAGAACTTCAATTGAGATGTGTTGGCGAGGCCGTTGCCGTTTGATACAAACATCTTCAAATGTCAACTTGACACTTGGGTTGAGTTGGTCAGGCTATGTTGTTGTTGAATCACAGAACGAATTAGTCTTTGTCGAGACATACATAAATATGAAACAAAAGGTTGGAATCCATGGAAGAAAATCCAAGAGACAGAAAGCCTTAGGATACAGATTTTAATGTTGGACAAGACATGTAGGGGAAGACTAACTAATCAAAATCAAGAGAGACACGGAAGATTGATTAATTAAATAGAAGAGTTTTACAAGTGAATGAAAGAGGTAAGCTTACCAGATTTGTTATTTGACATAAGGGAATAACTTCATAACTTTTTGTATGCAAGTGTTTAATATCGAAACAGTTGACAAATTTTGAATGTCTGATTTCGCAAAGGTTGCTTCCTTCTTAATCGAGTATTTGTTCACTGCAACTAAAATGTGATTAGTTTGCTCCAACATATTAAGCAGATTTGGACTATCCTGAGTTTTCTCAGTAATCCTTAAAAAATACACGTGGATTAACCTTTTCCTTTAATGGGAGCTCAAGAGTGTAGGTCCATAATCCACCTACGGGAAAAGTGGGTTGGTCATTTCATTATCGAGCATCTCCCGTAAGATATTTGACAACTTACAATAACCTTCTTTGGTTGGTCATTTCATTATCGAGCATCTCCCGTAAGATATTTGACAACTTACAATAACCTTCTTTACTTGTAATGATGCCATACCTTTTAAAAAAACTACTGACCAGATGACATAAAAAATATACAAAAAATATCACATCAAGCTCTAAGAGTAAAAAAAAAGAGCAAAAAACATTACCTAAGATGTGGAACTATGCAGATTAAATAAAAATGTGATGTTTCGCCATGTTATGTGATTCCTATACCGGACTTATATTTTCCAAATTTATATAATATGTCATTGCAGGACATGTGTTCTTCTCCTCCCGCATAATACTTACACAATATTGTCTTACAACAGTGGACCCTAATTGTGCTTCTTTTTAAAATTCCCGCACGCAAACACATTTCTGAAGGTGCCTAAATCCATTAATCGAATGAATACAGAGCTGATCGAAACCATGTAAGTTCGACGTGTGAAACCCCACAAACTTATCGTCGTGCTAGAAGGTCACGTATGAGAACTGGGAAATCATTTCGAGGCAAGTGGAGGGTCGATCTCGACACATCTCGAAAGTGGTTGGGACCTTCAGTGGATTTCCGTGGCTTTATCGATTACGACTTTTCGCGCTGTCTGCGGGCCAGTATTAATTCCATGCTCAAGGCAACAGCATGAGGACATCCGATCTTGGACCCGGGTCCCGAACCCACCCACTGCCGAGCCCGAGCCACTTCCTTTCGTTCTCGATAGAATCTCCGTGACATGGTGAGCTTGCCTGCCTGCATCCAATCAATCCTGCCAAATCGTGCTCAGATACAAGTATGATCCGGTCAACGGAACATTACTGGAGCGACTGCCTGGACCGAGTCTTGCCTGAGCTCGAGAAAAAGTCGTCTCAGCTGAGCGGAATATCCGGCGGCCTCTGCCTGTAACAGGCGCAGCCCCGTTCGTTCATTCGGCACCATCCAGGGGAGCTCTGGCTGGCTGATGGCACCGAGTCGATCAGGAATCCGGATTCTGGATTGGTGCCAAGCAACGACTCGTGCTTCTAGAGGATCTATCTCCATACCCCGCGACTTACAGCGATCGCTGCTATTCAAGTTCTCGGTTCTTCGGTGTACTGTTCCAGGTTCAAAGCCACATTCATTTCTGGCATCTCTGTTCTTTTATCGATTCTGCTCGAATCCTTGCTCTGCAATCCGACGGTCGCAGCTGCATGGGGGGCGGACGGGGTCAACGTGCTCTTTCGCTGTCTCCGATGTCTACTCTATCTCTCTTAATCGGGTTGACTTACAGCCAACATTCGTTTCGGCGCAGTAGAGTACAAAGCTCAAACCGCATCTTCGCCAAATGAGTTCATCTGAAAATCACTGCTCAATTCTTGTTGGACTTTCAAAGCAGGGCATTCCAGACAGATCGAAGCTCTCTCTCGACTCGTGCTGTGCTGTACTCGTGCAGGGGATCAATAAATACACTCTTCAATTCGAGCCTTTCCCCGAGAGTTCTCCCCGGGGAATGTGCTTCAAAGGGGTTCTCTCTCTGTGTTACTGATAGAACGGAAATTTGGCAAATTTGAAGCCTGATACTCCGAGGAGGCGACGATCTAGTGTACCAAACAAAAAACTGCACATTTCAGTGAGTTCCTGGGGAAGATCGAGGAAGTGCCAACGCTGTGGGCGGTTTGATTCTCGTACCTCCGTCCGTCCGGTAGGTATTGGAATCCGAAAGATCCCGCCACCAGCGATACCGTTAAGAAACAAGAGACTTCATTATCACATCGTCAGCATCGCTTTTTCTCCCTGGAACGAAAGGACTTGAAGATCGTGGTGGATGATCGTTCCACGTCTGGCGGCACTAAGAAAGCCCGTTAATAGATCAAGCCCGTGGGATCTGAAGGGTCAAAAGGCTAAAAAACACAAATCAAATCATTCACTCGCCGTCAAGGAGAGAAACCCCTGGCTAGTGCCTAGAGCACTAGAAAGAAGATAAATAATATCTCTAACGTAACATCCTAAATCGTAAGGCTCAAGCTGCAGTAAAGAATATAATTGCACTACTTCTTTGTACAGACCAGAGGCTGGCTTGGCTTGGATTGGATTGGATTGGATTGGATTGGCTTGGCTTGCCATCGGTCGGTCACCCATTCTATCATTTATCAAGGGAACCAGATCCTGTCACTGTAACTTGACTTTGGATACAACACAAGCATGACCACTGCAATTTCGTGCTCACGATTTATCGATAGAAACGTTGCATTACGAAGTGACTCGAAAACAACACCTTCCATATCAAGAGTGTAAAATTCAGCTACGATGACAAGTTTATTATATGATGATGAGTGCCTACATACTTTCACGGCGATGAATGTTTCTTTTGCGGTTAGTTACTAAAGTTTGTTAATATCGTGGCTCACTTAATAAAATGGTGTAGCCCGCATTCTGAATTATGCAGAGGTTTGAACATTTGCTGCTGCTGCTGCCTCCAGATGACCAACCAAACCAGTCGTGAAATTGGCAAATTGGATTGCGGTTGGCGGCGATGGACTCAAGATCCGTAAGGTGTCATTTTGTCGCACGAGAGATTGTCGCCCGCGAAGGTTCCCAACAGGGCCACGCGGTCCTTGAAGTAGCTGATGCGGTTGGTGGCTTGGGGAGTGACCTTTCCGCACTCGAGGCCGCCGTTGATGATCAGAATGGTCAATCCGAACCCTGGCTTCCTGCCGGCCTTCAAATCTGCATACGTCGGGCGATACTTGCCCACCAGCACATTGTGAATCGAAGGAATACCGCCCTCTCGTGCGGTGTTCCAGAACCAAAGTGCAGAACTGAATGCGAGCACGGCGTCTTGTGCTACCAGATCAGGCTGCGCGAGAATGTTTGCTTTCAGCGCCTTCCCTGCCGGCCCATAGTTGTAGTTCCTACAAATCCATCCCGCCACAAAATCAGTCCACCACCACCACCTTCACTCACAATCCATCAACGAGAGCTAACATGACTGCGCCACAAGTTCCCTAAACAAGACTAAGAAGAAAATTCTCAACGTATCGGCCCCCATATCTACAGGTTTGTACTCATTGCCCGAGCTCGTATCGTAGTCTTCATCGTCAGAGCTATAGGCGTCAAACTCACCAGCTGATTTGCAGGGGACCACGTCCGAAGTATTTCTGTCCAGGAGCGCAGGGCCACTGCGTGCTGGTGGCATCGCAGTAGCTGTTGGATTGATCGATTTCCCTGATGTAGATGAGTCCTGTGAGGTAGAAAACGTGGGAATCAGACACAGTGGAGACAATGGAAAGGTCAGAGGAGAAATTGGAGACGGCGTGTCGGAAGATCGTTCTGGCGAGTGGGAGATTACAACTGACCTGCGGTTTCCTGTTGAATGTGGGCGGCGAAGGCGGCGATCTCTCTCAAGCGGACGGCTTTCGGGCCTTCGGTTCCGAATTTGGGGAACTTGTTGCCGGCGAGGATGAATGCATCGTAGGTGTAGAATCTGGAGTTGCGATCCGGGAAGAGGAGATCGAACGTGCTGCGGTTCAGAGTCTTGTCGAGGCCGCTGGTGCTCACGGCTGGAGGACCAGGAGGTGGCGATGGAGGAGGGCACTGCGACTGGCATCCGGCACCGCAGTACGCGTCGCTCACCCCGCAGAACCCGAACTGACTGCAGCAGAACCCGTTGTCGCACAGAGTGTTATTGACGTCCCTCCCGCAGCTCTGAGCTGCCGCTGTCTGCAGCAAGCACAGAGCCACCACACACGAGCTCGCAAATCGCAGCCATGTCGTCGACCGCCTCGACATCGCTACAGATTCCAGACCGACCGTTCACCTCCTGCTCCCCGAGCGATTCCCCAAGTCCCTTACGTCGCCAATGTAAGCCAAATTAACAACCCCGTCCAAATCCCGACCCTGGCCGTCTCTCTATCTCTTTATATCTCTTTCGTATCTACGCATCCGTCCTGGTCTATTCTGAAGCGAACCTACGGGGAAAAGTCTGAAGGTGAGCACTTTGACTCGTGCAGCTATGGAATGATGTTAAGGGTAGGAGAATTAAAAAGGTTTCGGCTTCAGGTTTCAGACTTAGCTCCGTAATGTGAGGATCAGAGATGGGGCAGTACAGTGTATATATATGAGTCTGGGGACGTGAAGGCGACAAGGTGGGGGGTTCGCTTTGCGATAGCACCTTTTTGTTCGCGTCCTGCGCTTGATGAGGTCAATGCGGAGAGCAGTAGCGAGCAGGGAGCGAGTGATGGGAGGGATTGCTACAGACTGAGTTTGCGACGTCTTCAAGGGAATGGTGGGGCCTGCATGCCTGCCTGCCTGCCTTCCTGCCTTCCTGCCTGCTTCAGGAGGGTCAATCGCAACCGAAGTCGTCTGCGTCATCAATGTAAAGGCCTCCCCCTCCCTCGCCCACGGAGGTCGTCATCATTATCCGGCGCCGGCGCCACTGCTGGCACTTTCCCCGCGCAACGCTTCCGAAAGAAGAACATTTCTTCTGATCTTCATGTCCTCTTCGGAGGGAGGTGCAGAACGTCTGCTGTGAGTGCGTTGCAGATTGACACGTTCCAACAGCTTCGACTGACCGTGTCACCCCTGCAGAACAACAATGGCCTTCTTCTGTTCAGGACATAAATCTTCTTCCCCTTTCTCGTTCATTTCCAAATCCCCATCTATCGCATTTAGAAGACGTTCTTTCCTAGAAACTCGACCAAAGGTTGAAGGTACGAGTAGCCTAGGATGCAGAAGCTGGAGACAAAGCAGTCGAGTCGAGGTACTACAACGAAGGCCTTCCTCTCGTGTACTTCAAAAGCAGCAGTCACAAAGTCTGTGCTCATCTAGAAGCAGCACGTTGTGAGCATCATAGAGGAACATGCTCAAGTCCATGTCGACTGACTCATGAATTTCGATGAAATGAAGTAGCAAAGTAGGACTTTTATGAACAGAAATGGATCATGGGAAAAAGTCACAGTGCATGCAAGCGAGTAAAACTACAACAATTACATACATAGACGTCGAGCGAATATCTGTTGTGAGCTCTGCCTCGTGAACAGCGAGCAGCCGCCCTATCTACATGTTCTACTCTACAAATCCCTCCCTGATAAATGCCAACAACTCGAGGCCTAGTCTAATAGAGGTGAGCTTGAAGTATCTCGTTCTTTGATCCTTGTTCGGCATGATGGATATTATCATCGTTACTGATATCGTCCTTCTCAACCGTGTTGGATATCAAGGAGCACATCTTATTTTCACAAACAAAGTCAAGAAGTTTGTGCTGCTTTATTGCCCTTTTCGTTCTTACACAACAAGATGCATATTTTATTTTAGAGATTGATTATTTACTCTCAGCTTAGTGAACAATACACATAGGTATGGTTAGTCGTGGCTATTCATTATGGTATAAGGAATGAAATTTTCATATATTAGGACTGTGATGGTATGATATGTGGGTATTGAATGATTCTGTTCTCACAAGGCTATTATGAGAAAATTTTGACATCAATCATCTTCAAATCACTTTTTTAGCTTAAGATGAATATAAGCGTGATATTGAGGCTAAAGAGTATATGATTGGATCAACCTTGACACGGATGTTTGATCAACCTAAACAGTTTAAAAAACTCTTGAACCTTCAACACTTATTAAGCGCTTGAAGATGAAAATTCTTATGAAATGAAGATGGAAGTGATAAAATATCTATAATATTTCTTGTTGGTTAAGTATATTATTTGAATGAACCAGATTAATCATGAAACTTAGATGTTGTGGTAATATCATCTTCCATATATCACTGACCTATATGTGATGGATATCAAATTTTTTCAACAAAATCACATCAAAACATGATAAATAATTACTCTAAAGAGCTTCTCAGTTAAAAATAGATGGATATTTTATGTAATCCCGAGAATCACAGCGACGAAATCCAAATCACAGCCGAAACATGATGTAACTTGGTTCACCTATATGAGTAAAGCTAAGTACTCCGAAAAACTCAGAGTTTTATTGAAAAGATGTGTTCACCATACACAAACCTTGGGTTATAATTACCCCAGCATAGACAACCCTCATAGCTATTATTAGCTAAGACTTGAGGTTATTCTTTAACAAGAGTTAACCTCAACCTTTACTCTTTACCTAAAAAACAATAACCTCTATAATCTATATTATTACTCCGTGGAAAATTTTAGAAAGAAACCTAACACACCACTCTTTACACGAGAGATAATTAGAACTAAACCGGAGCCATGAGAAGATAAAAAAATTATGTAAAAAGATAACTTAAGATATTATGCTAACATACTTTATTTATACTCCCAACACAATTTTCTGAAACTTTTTTAAGTAATAACTTTGATCAACACATCTACTGGATTGAGTTTACAGTCAATCTTGATTAGTTCAATCACCAAAACTTATCATCAATATTGACTAGTTTAATCACTTAATTTCAATAAAAAATTAATAATCAAATAGATTAGTGTACATATAAATAAATGCATCAATTAAATCCTGTGGTGCTATTATTACAATTTACATTGTAACAACTGTTTGAGGAAAATTATTATATTTTAAGATGTAGATAATTCTTAGCACTGAATGGATGAAATTTTCGAAGTTGAGACTATAAAAAATTGACTACAATGGGAATAATCAAAGCATTAACATAGAATTTATGAGTCAAAAGGAGTATCTATATATAAATTACGATTACTTAAAGTGAGGAAGATTATATCTTACCATGTTTAGATTCTAAATATTCCTTTGAATCTTGATATAGCAAGAAGAAATTTACAGTATCCACGTCACAATGTGAAAGAAACTATGAAGCTGTAGCTAGTGTTGAAACGGAACCTCTTTGGCTTTTTTAAAGGTGGGAGAGCAACCACTGGAGTAACACACAGAATTACCGATAAAGCACACAACTTTATTTGTACTGTTTCGAGTCCTGCTTACGGGTAGAACTCATATAGAGAATATGTGTTTTGAAGTCTGATTGAAGCTGGTTGGTTCAGCGCGTTCTCACTTTATTTTAAAATATCTGGCATGCATAAAGAAAGAGAGGAAGTCTTCTGCGGCTTTAATGAAGACCAAGCATGATATGGTAAAGACGAAGAGAAATGAACGCGAAGAGCAGCATAAGTGAATGAGGGTACCAATGTTTAAAGAGAAGGAGCGATATGACAACGTTGACATCTCCACCTGAAGATACGAATTGTCGGTCACAGTTAACGCAGTTACTGACCTGACGGTGTTGATCGGGAGAATAAAGACATCTCCTTAAAGACAGAATCATGAAGCATGTCCTCTGAGAAGCTGACATTTGACCGAGTATAGAGTAAAGGGTACTCCTCGAGCACCAGTGACCTCGCGACCTTTAGGGACGCGAATGTGGAATCTGCAAACGAAATACCCAAAGGCTGGAAATGTGTTGGCCGCATCGACGCGGAGGAATTAAATTCGGTCCACAACATAAACACGAAAAGCAAGTATGGTAAGCGACGTAGGGAAGATCGAGATGCAGACAGTTATAACATGGCTGACTGGTGAGGCTGCTGGCGATGAGATCTCGTATATCTGAAATGGTCCACGGTGGGACAGACAGGCTCTTTTATGCCGGCTGACTTTGAAGGAGCTGACTTCCAACCAATGTCATGTCTGTTAGTGGGAGAGGGCACGACTTCGCTTTCTAGACGCGCATCCAGTTCGGGTTGCAGTGTGAATCTATGCACCGGAACGAAAGAACGATCGCTCGATTGGCAATGATCGGCTAAAAGATCGAGTGCATGAAGGGCTCCGATGCCAACATGTACAAAGGAACGAAGAAAGTAAACTGATGACTTTAGCCAAAAAGTACCAAGGACCAATTGTGTCTCGCTCCCCTTTATTCCGTTGTCATTGCACACATTTCAGGATTGGATTGGCATCTTCTTTCTGTCTTCGGCCGAGAATTGTCCGAGCTGGTGCTGCTGTTAATACACATATGAAATATGCATTATCGTTACGGAATAAGTTGGTTCCTGTGACCACCTAAGTACACTTAAGGTGAAAATAATATTTTCTTTGTTCCGAAGGTACAGAACAGGCCAAGTGGGTAAAAGAATTCATTATCGCACCAAGCGGTACGAGTATGAAACTTAACTCCCTTTAATGATATTACAATGATAATTTCGTTTTACTAGTTGCATATTCATATAAATCTTTGCATAACTACTTTCAATAGTCATATGATGTATTTTAAAATATACTTTCCCATGTAAATTATTTAAATAAGATCTGTATATAATAAAAATATCACCATGCGTTTTTCCTACTGTAAACATATTTTAATAGCTTGAAACAATCCAAGTGTTTAGTAACGGTGCGTCTTGTACATAGCAGGAAGTATAGAGGATGGGTAGTGACAACACATTGTGTATAGCAGTATGAAATACTTGTAGAATTACAAGAGATGAGAACAAGGATCTCAAGTTGTTACATCTGAGGGTAGGTTTCAGTGCTGCTGTAGCATGTAACGATATGTTCAATCTTAGCGACGATGCAACTTGCAGCCGGATGATATTGACCTCGGGTCTTCCTCCATGTACGGTAGGTACCTAAGCTATAAATAGAACCAGAAGTCAACCACGTTCAGAATTGACATTACTATGTTTTCCACTGCAGAAGCCTCATCCCTGTCAATCGTCGAATCGAAGACCAACAGATGTCGGGACTCATCCCGTCAACTCTCGAAGTGTGAACCCTCGCGGGATCTCACGTGCTCTGGCCTCAACTCACCTCCCGATGTTCTTACTTCTCACGGCCAAGAGTTACTCAATCCTCTCGGGGGCTCAAATTCGTCGAGCGTGCAACTACCGTAACCTAAAAGGTGGAAGCACTTGCTGGATCTCAGTCCGGTTCTGTACTACACTACTCTAGATGACCTCGTCCAAGCCTCTCACCCTCTCATCTGGAATCAAAGCTACACTACACAGGACTTGTAATGGTAGTGTTATGTCTTGATATTTCATGCAAGATGCTCACTAGAGTTCAAAATACTATCAACAGATGTAACTCAGAATCCTAGTTTTATG